ATATGAAGGTCAGTTAAATTATAAAACATGAGGCTTATAAAGTTCTCCTTTTTTAATTTAATTGGTGCATTTTAAGTGTATTTATTTATTTATTTATTTATTTTGTCCATATGTATATTTCTGCTTTTATCTCTAATTATGTCAGATTCGGTCCTGCATATATTTCTTGTATCTCAAGCATATAAATTGTATTGTTCTTGTCTGACTTATGAGATTTTTTTCTTGTCTGATTTATGGAAATTTTTTCTTGTCTGGCTATGATGAAATGTTTATTTGAAAGCCATTAGCAGGAATCAGTTTTTTTTTAACACTGCCGCCTAAGGCTCAACTTGCTACATTTAAGCATAGCACAAAAGATGATATAGTCTAAAACTCTGGCATGAAAACTGGTGGGTAATATGCATCTCTGTATGGAATGATCAGACCTTATTGTTATTAGATTTTTTTTAAATCGGCATAATCTAAATTCCAGCAACAAATAAGCAGAGAGAGCACAACAGTTGGCTGTTTGTGAAGGTGGAAGTGACTTCCATGAATGTTGGGTAGTTTGTACTTTCTAAGAAGTACATAATAGAGTGTGTACTTTTGCAGAGGAGAACCACTGTGGGTGGTAATACTGTCAAAGAAACTAAGTCAATCACAGTCCTTCCTTTGCTTTAATCCTCTCTTATATTTCAGCTTTTAAGCATCAAACAAAGAAACTGCAAAAGAACTTGGCAAGAAAACAGTGTTGGAGAGACAAAGCCAGCGTGGGTTGGGAGGTAAGGCAAGATACAGTTTCAACGGGTCACTGGAGATGAGCCCCTCAGATTATTAAGGCATGGTTTTCTCACACAACTTAGGGACCAATTGACACTTTGGCTGGAGATATAAGCACATCTTTTTTATGTTTTCTAGCCCACTTTGACATAAATTCAATGACCTGTTTCAGTACTGTCATTTGACCGTACAAGAGGAGACGGTCCGTCTCACAGGCCGATGTTTTTTTTTACCATCAGTTACTGCATGTGTGTCTGTGCTTGTGATGGAATGCATACCTTTCACCTGGAGAAAAATGAGGAGTGTGCTCATCGGATTATAAACCTGAAAAGGCATTCTGGATAGAAACAGTCATTTGGGCCTCTTTCACAGTGAAAGCCTTGCAAAGGAGCAGAATTTATGGGCTTATTCCTCAAATGGTTCAAGACATCAAGAGCATTAAGCCTTTTTATCTTTATACAACCACCGTTAATAGTATTAACAAACAGCAGAAAAGAGTTTTGATATTTAAAGCTGATAAAATGACTTAGTAATGTTTTAAAGGTCTTTAAAGAGCAATTATCAAAAAGTGATTTCTGCTTTAGGATTTTATAAAAAAATAAACAGGAAATACTATTTACTAGTTCAAGAAGTTTACATTTTAAAAATGCACAAGTTATTACATTTATGACAAGATATAGCTGATATAGAAGATAAAGAAGATACAGTCGCAACAAAATTTGTGTCCTGCTTGTTAAAAAATCCTGTTTATTTGCTCACACAAAGTGTTACTGMAAACTATTTTTTTTAAATTTACATTATCACTCTGCAACATTATTTTTAAGAACTGGTTATAAGTTGCAAACATTATTTTTGCTGCATTCAACAATGCCAAATGCATGGCCACGAAGTAATAACTTGCGGCCATGATAGTTAAAGTGTGGCCACATCATTATAATTTGTGGCCATGAGACAGATAATTATTGATGTCATTTCCATGCAGAGACTGTTGATTGTTAACATGAACAATTATGAATTAATTTAATTACATTTTAATGTAGGAAACAAGTGCGGTTAGGCATACAGTAATTCTTAGTATTAAATGCTGCAGCTATAGGTGGCGACTATTGTTCACACACTGAGGGTGTTTATTGTTGTCTCATAAATATTATTGTACTATGAAAAAATCTGACTAATAATGTCCCAAAGTGTCACCGCTCAAATTTATCTCGTGGCCACACATTAAATATTTTATTTCATTGTCACCGTACGTGCTCCAGAGAATTCACATACTATATATTTTAAAAATGTCCATGATTTGTTTGCATGTGCAGCTCATCCATCATTTAATACCACATTCTGGACTTCATTAAATTACATCATCAAGGATGCAGATTTGATTTAATGTAGGAATGCATTTTGAAATGGTCACTGATTGTGGAGGTTGGACCCAATAATGGGTCCAAACATGACAAGTTTGTAAAAAAAAACAGTTTAATTTAAAAAAAAAAAAGAAAAGAAAAAAAAAAGAAAAAAGTTGACTTGGCAAGAAAAACTACAAATGAATAGAATCAGAGACATGGAGGAGGACAGGACATGGCATGAAGCACACTTAATGCCACACTGAATGTGATGTGAAACCTGAAGGACTGCATGGACAGGTTCTGATGAGCGGATCGGAAACACCTGGACAAAACACCTGGAAACAGGTGATGGGGGCGGGGCTAGAGCTAATTAGCAGAAACTGAGACAAATTGAACTGACGGCACAGAGAGCATTAGAAAAAACTGAAACACAGAGAAAACAACAAAGCAAACAAATCTAAAAAAATAAATAAAAAAAGTCAAAAACACAGATCTTGCAGAAGTATATAAAACATTTAAATTAAAAAACTATGAGTATTTATTTTATAGATGAAGAATAATATTTAAAAAACATGTTATAACTTGAGTTTTATGAATGAAGCAATGTCAAATTAAAGAGTTCAGAGTTGAATGGGGTTCAGACTCAGTTTTGTCAACAAAAATGTACCTTTAGCCCTAAAGTCCATGTTTCTAATTGAAAAACTAGCATTACTTGTAGCTTATAGCTGAAAAGTGTAATGTTTATGAAAAGTACCCTCATTAGTCCAGGTCTCGCAGCTTTTTACCGGTCTCTGCAGCGTTTCTGCAGCTGTACAGCCATTTGATTATCCKAGCGTTGCGCTCGATCACCGATGTGCCCTGCTGTGATTTTTTAACCAGCTCATCCTCAAKCAGCCTGTCACTGTCACCGCTCTCCCTGGAGAAGCCGTCATCCGACGTGGAGATGCTGACGCTCCGGATGTTTACAGAGCTCTTGTCGGATCGAGCGGAGAAGTTCTCCCTCCCCAAAGACTCGATCACCTCGCCGTCCAGCCCGCAGTACTTGAAAAACGCGTCGAAGTCCGCAAAGTTCTTGGAATACCTGGAGCTGATGTCGGAGTGGGAACGGCCGACCTTGTTGCCGGACCGTCTCTCAACTTCAGGCACTGCRAGGAGACCTCCAGCTGTCGGCGTCATCCCAGAATCACTGCTTATGTTGCTATATTCCTCTGAAACTCCATTTGACCTTTTGTCTGACTGAGAAACCACCAGACGGACGCCACATTCCTTCGATGAGGCCCCAGGTGTGGTAGTTACTTTTTTGTACCCCTCAGACTTACATTCCTGGCCAGTGACTTCACATAATGGGACACTTCTGTTTACAGAACTGAGCTGCAACTTATGAGTTAGAAGGTGTTTCCGGTCATTTCCCGCTGCTTGGAGCAAGTCACATTTCTGTCTGTAGAGTAGGAGGGAGTCTTGTCGTTTTCTGTAGATGGGCTTATTTCCTTTTCCCGGTGGGCAAAGTTGTGCAACACGTTTAGGCTCAGAGTTACTTAAGACGGGATTTGCACAAGGGTTTGAGCTTTGGTTTGAAGACCCGGGGCTACTCGCAGAGGCTGAACCGAGACTCACCGGCTCCTGAGTCGAGTTGACCACCTGCTGGCTTTTGACGTATTTGGGTTTGCTGGCCGCGAGCCTCTCYACAGCACTCATGCGTCCTTTCGTCTCACTCTCCAGCTCCATCTGCTTTCGAAGGTATTCCGGACCCTTCACGAGGATTTTTGTCGCCTCGCTCTTTGTCTCCATTGGGCTTTTGTGAAAGTTCCAATCCAATCCCCTCCAGTCAGTAATCCTTTAGTTTTCAGTCCCGAGTCAGAGCCGAAGGATTCCATGCAAGCCCATCCTCTGCCCGAGCACGAATCCCTACAGGAGACTTCACCTTGTCTGTTCTAACACACATCGCTTCACCCCACCCATCCTGCACAAGGCTTGTTTTAACCAAACACAAGCCTGTTCAAAGTACACCTGATACCACCACGATTGAGAACAATGAAAGCTGAAACTACTGCAGACCGTTCCAGCCCCTCTTTTAAAGGAGGAAATGCAGTTTTTTTTGTGTTGTTGCTCAAAGCAAGCCCAAACCCAAAATTCTCTTGTAGGAAAACCAGTTCTGGACCCAAGTTTCTTCTAATGGATATTCAGGTATTTACCAGGAAAAATGGCTCATCATCAGTACTCTTCATTGTGGGAGGAAATGTTGCACAATAAATGTTTACCACATTCTTACATTATTCATCATCAATCTAAAGCAGGAGCTGTAGATTTTAGTGATAATCAATACAGATTTATCAGAACTTCCTTGTGCAGCATTAGAAACRAAGGATGAAGTGGTGTGTTTTTCAAGTTGTTGGTTTTGGAATGTCCTGAATAAAACCACATGAAAAGATTGTTTCAAGTTTTGAACCTCTGTATTACAGACTCACAAAAGTCAGCTGACACTATGTCAAATTTTGGTGTTTTCATTAGAAAAAAAGCTACTTTTCCAAAGCTCAGGGTTTGTGTGGCAGTTTCTGTGCAGTGCAATAGGACACACATGAAACAAGACACAGAAATTCAAAGTTACTGAGTGACTGACCGCTTTTACTAGTTTTCTAGGATCGCATAGGTCTCTGTTGTCAAAGGATCAAAATTTTAAAGGCTTGAGAACACTAATTATTAATCAAATATTACATTTATTTGTTTAATAAGAACAACCCATAATAATAATAACAACCCCAAATGGACTTTATTATGGACCATAGAAGGACTGGTCTTGACAAGGTAGGTGTGTATGCTAAAAGGTTACATGACACACACACACACACACACACACACACACAC